CTTCATTTATCAGCATAGCAAAGAAAAAGATGAAGATGATTGTTACTTTTTAATTTATTATTATTATCACTACTTTCCATTTTAGAACTTTGTGGGCATAGGGTTTCCCTTCTTTCCCTCCCTTTCCTGCATTCTTCCCCTCTCACACATTTTCTCCATATTTTGCGATAATATCAAGGATATAGTCCTTGAACTGCAGTCATAACGTTCTTCTCTTTAGTGTGTCATGACATTGTGGGTACCGGCAATGATAGAGAATCTAGCATCTTGTTTTTAAGTGACATAAATGGATCATATATTATTAAAGTGTCAAATTCCTTTTTGTTAACATGCAACATCAAAAATAGGGATTCAAAATTGGCAAATATTAGTTATTGAATCTGTGGAGTCATAATCAAGACACATCTTCCTAGCAGTTAGTGTTAGCTTCCCTACTTAATTATTAGTTTCAAAGTGAGGCACTACAATGGCTTTATTAGCATTGCCACTCAAATTGTGAAACAAGGAAGGCAGACTCTGAACCCTTTCATGCAGTTAGTAGTTAAAATCTTAACATGAAAACAGTGGCAATTTTAGAAGCTGCCTTATCTTCTATTAAGTGGTTTTGTTCCAAGTATTCTTCTCCAAATTATCTGGAAGTAATATTATTAATTGTAGTCTATAAGTCTATGTGAAAGTGATTGAAATTGTTTCAGATGTTAGAAGTTATATTTCTTTTGCTCCACCTTTCTGAGTCCAAAATAGGTGATACTTCTTCATTTTCCTGCTTAGTTTAGTCTTCCTCAATACCCCTCACCTCTAGATTAGCTAAAGCACTGGTTAGACCTTTGTGAACATGGCAGATGTAAATTGCTTCATGATGAAATTCACAACGTAAGGACGCCATTAGATAAAAAGCGATTTAAGAAAAATTAAAGCTTTTATTTATTTTTAAAGCTGCTTTATTTTTATTTGAAAAGCAGAGTTACAGAGAGAAGGAGAGGCAAAGAGATGCTTCCTTCTACTGGTTACTGCCCTAATGGTCTCAACGGCCATTCTCTCGAATGTCTGCATTTTTTTAACTTTTTCATTTAAGCTGCTGCAGATAATGACAACATACAGTATTTTTCTTCTTGTACCAAACTTATTTCAGCCCAATATTATATCCTTTGGTTGATTTCACTTTGCCGTGGTTTAATTTCTTTCCGTTTTTATTGCTGAATGATATTTCACCATGTATATATATCAGACTTTCTTCACCCTTTCATCTAATAATGGACAACTTGGTTGATTGTAAAGTTACCTCTTTTTTTAACTGTGCTGTTATAAACAGGATAGTGCAGATATACCTTGTGTTTGTGCTTTTGGGGTGCATACTTGACAGTGTACTTGCTGGATCATTCTGCGCCGATGCTGTTAGCTTTTAAAGAAATCTTCACAGGGCCCGGCGCGGTGGCACAGTGGTTAAGGTCCTGGCCTTGAACACACCCCAGCATCCCATATGGGCGCTGGTTCTAATCCCGGCAGCCCCGCTTCCCTTCCAGCTCCCTGCCTGTGGCCTGGGAAAGCAGTCGAGGACGGCCCAAAGCTTTGGAACCCTGCACCCGCGTGGGAGACCAGGAAGAGGCTCCTGGCTTCGGATTGGCTCAGCTCCAGCCTTGCGGCCGCCTGGGGAGTGAACCATCGGACAGAAGATATTCCTCTTTGTCTCTCCTCTCTGTATATCCACCTTTCCAATAAAAATAAAATAAACCTTTAAAAAAAAAAGAAAAGAAAAGAAACCTTCACAGTGTTTTCCACAGTGGCTGCCCAAATTTGCGCTTCCCAAAACAGGATGTAATTGTCCCTGTTTGTCCACATCTTTGCCAGGCTTTAGTACTTTCTGTCTTCTGAGTGTTAGTCTGAGAGGGGTGACAGATACTTCATTGTGGTCACTAGTCTCATAGCTATTGATGTTGACTGTCATTTTCACTTGTTAGCCATTTGGATTTCAATTTTTTGAGAACTACCTAGCCGGTATCTTCCCCATTCGTAATGTGTTTTCGTTATTGCTGAGTTTTTAAATGCATTGATATATTCTGGATATTAATCCATTGTTAAGCAGCTTCCAATGACTCTTCTCATCCCCGTGGGTGCCTCTTCACACTATTGATTGTCTATGGAAAAGCTGTGAAACTTGCTGTGAAGAAGCTTTTGTGTTCAATATAGCATCTCCCTCTCCTTTTTTGTGGTTCAGTTTTGCTTCTGTCGCCTGGGCTTTGAGGGTTTTGTCCAGGGTTTGCTTGATTCTCTGACTTCCGACCTCTTTCTACTTTTCCCTGTAAGTCTTATCTTAGATTTTGAAATTAAAAAAAAAATGTTTTTTCAACATAATTTTAAAAATTTTATTATTTTGTGTGTGTGTGTGTGTGTGTGTGTGTGTGTGTGTGTGTGTGTGCAGAGAGAAAAAAAAAAAAGAGAAAAAAATTTCCATCTGGTGTTTCACTCCCCAACTTTCCAGAATGGCTGGAGCTGAGGCAATCTGAAGCCAGGAACTAGGAGTTTCTTCCTGGTCTCCAACATGGATGAAGGGTTCCAAGGCTTTGGGCCATCCTCTGCTGCTTTCGAAGGCCATAAATCAAAGTGGAAAGAGAAGCAGCAGGGACATGAAGTAGCTCCCAAATACAGAGGCAAGTTCCTGCAGGTAGAGGATTAGCCAAGCCAGTTTAGCATTAAGCTGGTGCCTATATGTAAATATTGTATTATAACTATAGTTTTCCATTTTTTTCTCATTTGCTGTATTGTTTTATAATTTATTTGATGGTAATTTTTTTCAGCATAAATGTCTTCAGTTTTAAGGAAGGCCTATTTATTTATTATTACTATTTTTTCTTACTTGTTTTGATATATATCTACCATGGCTTTGCTTATAATAGCACTATGAAAATTTAAGACAGAGCTTTAAGATATCAGAGCTTTCAAGGTGGAGATTTAACCACTGAACCATTGTTCCAGGAATTTAAGTGAATGTTTATATGTCAGGCTTCAAACACATAAACACATTATTTTAGATATGGGCAACAAAACCATTGTGTTGTCTGTTATTAAATATTTTTGCAGTTACATAGGAAATAATTAAAATCTTATTAAAAATGAACATTTTTTGGCAACATAATGCATGAAACTTTCCCACACTTTGAAGACTTTCTTACAGGGTCATTGCCTGCTTCTTGATTCAGTGATATATTGGACTTTATTTCACCATCTCCTAGGTGTGTGTATCCTCTGTTGTGAATGTTTAGAAGCTGTAGTCATGAACTTGGGCATATTCACCATGGAATGAGGTGGTTGGATCAGGGCTTTATTTAGCTACATCTTTGGACATTCTTTAAAGCTGTCTATCTCTACTGATGTCTACCCTAGTTCAAGAGCATACCCCAAAGGTTTATGTACTGAAGCCTTGCTTTCAATATGGTGGGACGGGATTTCGTGGAACCACTGAGAGGTGAGGTAGAGTGGAACATTTTTACGCCACTCTGATGCTTTTGGGAAGAGATGCTGGTCTACTGGAATGAGTTTTCATGAATGTGAGTGAAATGATAGCAAGCATTGATAAATCGCTTGCCATTCTAAAGTAAGCCTTCCTCAGGCATTTCTTTATTATAAAACAAAACAGACAAAACATGGAGCTAACAATGTGTCACAGTGGATAGCCATCCCATGTGATGGTGCTGCTTCCCTTCTGATCCAGCTCCCTGCTAAGGCTCCTGGAAAAACAAAACATCCCCAAGTGCTTAAAAACCTGCACATGGGATACTAGGAGGAAACTCCTAGGTGCTGGAATCAGAGAGCCCAACGTCTGACCTTGTGGCCACTGGGGAGTTGACCAGCAGAAGAAAAATCTATTGCTCTCTTTCTCTTGGTGTCTCTTTTCTGTAACTCTAACTTTCAAATGAATAAACATATCTTTTAAAAAGCTAATATAATATTACCTTTAGCTGTGAGTTTTCACAAATAGGTACTTGGATGCTCTACAGTTCCTTAGATCCTGAAGCGCTAACTACTCCATCTTCTTTCCTGGCCTTTCTGCATGGATAGTTTTTGCTTTTTAATTTTTTTCAATTTATTCATATTTCAATTGCTCTCTTTTACATCTTTCTCTCTGGTTCTCGCTGTCAAATTCCTACATGATCTGTTATCTTAATTATTGTTCCCTTGTTATTCCCATGTCATATGAACTGCCACCAAAGTTCTATGACTTAAGACAGCACCTTTAGTATTGAAATTGATTGTAATATGAGTACAGGGCATTCTTTAGGTTTCTCTCTCTGTCCTATCCCTGCCCTCTTTCTTTGTCTCTCATCATAGTCTGATTCTCTCCCTGAGAAAGACTCTGGGCTACAGCTCTCATGCTTTGAGTAGCAAGATAGGTCTGATTTTCTCAGGCCAGCCACACTCCTCAGCTAGCAAGCTCTAAGCAGAAGCAGTAACCTGTTATCATCTTAGCTTGTTTTTTGGGGAGAAAAATATCTGTGATATATGATGAAAGAAATGACTCCAGATATATTGGGATGCTATCCCTAGCACTGTCTTTCTATAATACAACAAAGCATGGTAGAGAAAAGGTACTCCCAGGCTTTCAAAAAAAAATGTTTTTTGAGAAAAGAATTGAAGTGTTGATTTGTGTTTGAATGAGATACAAGATAGCATCAATCTTCCTCTTAAGGAAATATCATAGTTCCAGACAGATAGTTGGAATAATTGAAGGTCCTTTATTACTAACTGAATCAATAGAAACAGAGCTTCTATTTCTTTTTAGAGAAGTGTGGGAGGGAATGGTCTCAAAATCACAGACTCTGAAGCTTAAAGCAGTAAGAGTTTATCTGGAAGTACGGCATCTCCGTATCATATCTGTCATTAGAACCATTTTCAGAGATTCTAATGGCTACCATATTTTAATATAATTTCCCCCTATTTTGGTGAGAAGTCAGTGTAATTTTGTGCTTTTCGAAAAGTACCTCACCATATTGAAGAGAGTGAAGGGATAATTGTGAGTTTCTAAAAGTGAAACAAAACAGAAGCAAATAAACAAAAAAAAAAAAAAAACCACAAACTATGCTAAGATAAAATTATACAAAATGAACAATAATACAATATTGAGTTGACAGCATTTTCTTTCTCATGGAAGATAATAATAATTAGACATATTATTCCAGTTGAATATGTACTACATTAAGGGAAGAAAAGTATACAAATGTTTCAAAATTGTTCAAACTCAACTAGATATGTGCACTAAAATGTAGATAAGACCCCCAAAGATTACTGAGTATATTCTAAACTCTAAGCAGTAGTCAGAATATACTTTGAATATTGATACATCCTTGTGGAAGTCGTCACTTCTTATCAATAAGCCTATATCCACTCATTTAAGAATTATAGTAGGTTCATTTTGCTAAATGTAGATTTATTAGTTTACATTGATAATGCTTCTAGAAATTTAAATAATATCATTTTTAGAACAAATGATGAGGAGATGCTTGATATAATTCATAGGCATTGTTTTTGAAGAAATAATATTTGAACTTTCCACATTCATATTCCTGGAGATATTGCCCCATTACCTCCCAAAGTGACGCATTTTAATTCTCTAGGACCTAATAACTTTTGAGAGAATAACTTTTTCAAAATGAAGACAAATAAAGTAAGCGAAAATATAAAACTGGGAAGCGTATTTTTTTAAAGATTTATTTTATTATTATTATTATTTTTTTTTAATTGGAAAGGCGGATATACAGAGAGGAGAGACAGAGAGGAAGATCTTCCGTCCGATGATTCACTCCCCAAGTGAGCGCAACGGCTCATGCTATGCCAATCCGAAGCCAGGAGCCTCTTCCCGGTCTCCCACGCGGGTGCAGGGTCCCAAAGCCCTGGGCTGTCCGCAGCTGCTTTCCCAGGCCACAGGCAGGGAGCTGGAAGGAAAGCAGGGCTGCCGGGATAGAACCGGCGCCCATATGGGATCCCTGGCGTGCAAGGCGAGGACCTTAACCACTGCGCCACCGCGCCGGGCCCAAAATGTATTTTTTTAAGAAATAACTGCTAATGAAAACTTTCTGAAATAAATTAAGTTTCCTTACTTTTCTCATAAGACAGTCCAATAGTTATGCTTTTCAACATTTGAAGGAAACATTGTTTCAAAGGTCCAATGTAATAAAACATGATGGTTGTTAAAAGTGTGTTTTTCCTAAATTCAGCAAGTGCTTGTTTTCAGTTATGCAGTTTCACATGATGCTACCTGCTCTAATGCAGATTTGACAGCATTGGAAGAAAATGCAAACAGATGTTTTCTGTTCCCCACAGAGAAAAGGAGTGTGGTGTGTATGTGTGTGGGAGGGCTCTATAGACATCTATTGAGTATTCCAGATGGTTCCCAACGCTACTTGCACCTTTATGTTTGGTAATGGTGAATATAATGATGTCACCGGTATCCCTTTTATAGAGTCTGACATACTTGGAATGGGAAATCACTGCAAGAAATCATCTTTTTCACCATGTAAATATTGAGTGACATATGTTAGTAGTATATAAAAGTACATAACATATTGGAATCTATTTTAAATTTATGTTATATTTATGTATAATATTGAATTTCCCCTACATGGAATTAGAAAAAAATCTGGCAATTAATATGTTATTTATGCATACACAGAAAGATACCATATTTCCACAGGTTCATTTACATAGGGACACTTTCCAAAATGTGGCCTTTCTTTTGAAGCATGCAGTAATTTGGACAATTTTATAATGTACTCAAAATATGGAGTTTACTAGAATATTACATTTAATGCAAAAAATTCCTTTTCTCAAAAGCTGATGATACATTGTCTGTATCCATCATATGCAGATCCCCAACACCATGCAAATAAAAACATTTGAAAATTTAAAAAGTAAAGATTAGTTTATTTTTCTTATGAACACTCTCAGAATATAATGAAAATTGAGTTTATAATCCAGTTAGTGATATAAAAACAATCCTAAAACATGTTTTTAAACGCATTAAAATGTTTGATTTGTCAGACAAGCCATGACTATTTTGTATTACTTATAAAATTAAGCCTGATGGTTTTAGTGATCCAAAAGTTTTTAACTGTATATGAGCAAAAAGTTTATGGTATATAAGACATGAAGACACAGTGAGTCTTTCAAACATCCATCACTCAAAAAATAATTTACTGAATAATAATAATTAAAAAAAAACAAGATGAAACATTTCCCTCCTAGCTTACAAGTCAGACAAGTCCACCTGCCAAGAGGGCTAATTATGTTTATGAGTGTTTCAGGTACCCATAGCTTTCTAAAGCCAGAAGTCCTCAGAAACTCACATTTCTACAGACTTGAGATGTGCATGTAGTTTTTTTTTTCTTTAAACATTTTTATTTATTTTTATTGCAATGTCAGATATACACAGAGCAGGAGAGACAGACAGAAAGATCTCCTGTCTGATGATTCACTCCGCAAGAGAGGAGACTTCATCAGCCGGTTCTACCCATATCAGAAGCCAGGAGCCAGGAACCTCCTTTAGAATCAGCATCCATAAGGGATCTTGGGGCATTCAAGGCGAGGACTTTAGCCACTAGGCCATGACAGCACAGAGCCGTGCATGTATCCTTTTAGGGGCTTTCTTTCTCTCAATATCAGTGCCCAGATGACTGTATTTTCAACACCCTTCGAACATTGCATCAATCAATACCTTTACTGACAGTGTTCAGCATAAGCTGCCAAAAAATAGCAGTATTGAAAGGAGCAGCAGGGCCGGTGCATTGGCCTGGCTGCTAGAGCCCTCAGCTTGAACACGACTGGGATCCCATATGGGCGCCGGTTCTAATCCCAGCAGCCCTGCTTCCCATCCAGCTCCCTGCGTGTGGCCTGGGAAAGCAGTTGAGGACGGCCCAAAGCCTTGGGACCCAGCACCTGTGTCAGAGACCAGGAAGAGGTTCCTGGCTCCTGGCTTTGGATTGGTTCAGGTCCAGCTGTTGCGGCCACTTGGGGAGTGAACCATTGAATGGAAGATCTTCCTCTATGCCTCTCTTCCTCTCTGTATGTTTGCCTTTCCAATAAAAATAAATAAATCCTAGAAAAAAAAAAAGAAATCACTTGATAAAAGTTTATATTTGACACTTGATAAAATATAGTGGATAAAAACTCCCATATTCATTGATATTTGATAAAACTCCATTATTGATTTTCAGTGACATAAAATGTAATGAGACAATAAAGGTTTAATTTTTTTTTCTGTGTAACCATTCTGGAAGTGAAAATAGTTAAGTATATTTGTTTTCTTTAATTAGTTACGTATTGTATTACTCTATGATACAGGCTCTGGGATGTCTCTTCTCCACCCCTATATCCTTTCCTCTCTCCCCGTATCTTTAAAATAGTATGGTCCTTCATAAACACTCACAAGTCCATCATTCTGCTGTTTAAGTGTATCATGACATTGTAGGTATGGACATTGGTAGAAAATCCAGCTTCCACGGCACATGATAACCAAGCGCTCTTCCATCGAACATAAGAAAGAGGTCTTTAATTGTGCACATAAAAACCAAAAAATCAACTGTCATATAAAGGAATGCCAATTAAACTCACAGGAGACCTCTCACAGGAAACTCTCCAGTCCAGAAGAGAATGGAATGACATATTCCAGGTTCTAAAAGCAAAAGATTGTCAGCCCAGGATAACATACCCAGCAAAGCTTTCCTTTGTTTTTCAAAATGAAATAAAATTCTTCCAAAGAAAAGTTGAAAGAATATGCCTCTTCCAAACCTGCCCTACAAATGATACCTAAACATATTTTCTTGATGAAGAAAAGGAATGGCAACCACAAAAACCAAAGGCAAATGTGAAGGACATCCCAGTAAAATAACAACAGAAGACTAAATCAATGAACAAATGTTGCCAAAACGACAGAACCCTGAATGTAAACGGCTTGCACTCATCAAACATTATAGATAAATAGACTGGATTGAAAAACAAAACCCATCTGTTTGTTGCTACACAAGATATATTTCACCAACAAAGATCTGCGAAAACTGTATCTCGCAGATTTTCTTCAGGAAGATTCTTGATTTTCTTTTTCATTTCTTCAGCAACACATTAATCATTCAATAACATGTTATTTAATTTCATGGTGTTGTTCATTTTTTTTTTCTTCCTGTTATTCATTTTGCATGGTGGATTTTCATTTAAGGGGATGTATAATAACTGTGTAATGGAGACTATCATATCCAGATGTGAGGAGTCATTGCAGTAATCACCTCTACAGTCAGACCAAGAAGGGCTCCCAATGAAATTGTTTACTATATCTTGACAACAGGATGCTGGACTGTCTGCCATTTTCCATGCCCGCATGATGGACATATGACTGTGTATGAAGAACTATACATTTGTAATGGTATAGGGGAACTCAGTGAGGGGAGAGAGAACTGGGGAGAGGATAAGGGAAATCCCAGGGCCCATTGACTGCATCATAAAATGATAATAATAATAAAATAAGTAAAAAAAAAAAAAAGAATGTCCAGCTTCCAAATGTCAATATATATCCAACAGTTTCATTGTGAATCCATCTTTGATCCAGAAGTAGAGATGCATACTGCAATGTATCTTCATATCTGGATATGGCAGTCTATTACACAGTTACTATGAACCCTACTAAATGAAAAGGCATAAAGCAAAAATAACAGCAAGAAAAAAATTAAAATTTACAACACCATGTGCAACACAAAGCTTTAAGTTGGAAAAACCTCAGTGAGTTAAGGAAAAGATGATTTAAAATTTAAATGATGTTGCTCATATTTACTTTTTCAATGAAAAGGTGAATAATTTCATGAGATACTTGTGTGTGTGTAAAAAAATAAGAATAAGAAACAATATTTTAAGTGATGCTTAAATAGGTGCAGTTCACAGAATAGTGTTAATTTCAAAAACAACATATTAATCCAAGTTGGCAAAGATATTATATGCTTCTGTATATGGGAATTTTTGTCTTTAAAATGGAAAATGAAAATACCAGTGCAGAATTGAAAAAATGCATGTCATTTAGCTTACACATATGACATTCTATGAATGTTGTAACCTTAGTACACTCTCAGGATTCAGAAAGTATCAATAATAATGTCATGTTAGGACATTTTTCAGAACAAGTTTTAATATAATGTTTAGCTGTGGCTTGTTATTTCATAAGTCAGTTGTGGAGAGAACTCCTACCATTTAGAGTGAGTGATGTACGTGCAGTTAGACTAGCATTTTATTTATGAGTGGCTTCAATAGCTTCATCATCCTCAATTTTAATTTTATTTTAGTATATTATATTTTTATTTTTCAATTTTTATTTTGCAGGTGTTAAAATGGAAAGAATATAAGAAAATCAACCTATTTGATTTTTAAGAATGAATACATAAAAACTTTGTACATCGCATGAGGTTAGTGTTGTCTTACTTCTTTAGTTAAAAAAGAAAGAAAACTAAGAAGTAGTTTCACAAATGATAAAAGCTCAAATCCTAAATAATATCTCAAAAGTAATGTCCAAGCAATGACCACCTCTTTAAAGTTAATCCAAATTTAATTTAGGAATGGTAAGAAAATTTAGTAAAAGTAACAACAAAAATAAATTATTTCATTGTTTCATACACTCAACTGATTCATGAAACATGTGGATAAGATCAAAATCACATGTGTAAAAAATACATGTGATAAAATTCAATACATAAGAATGAAACCTTTAGAAGTTAAAAGATGGCATATTATTTTGAAATAATAAGAGATTTCATGATATTTACTGGTATAATCAAGAGGAATTTCATCTCTGTATGCCGACTGATATATCCTTTTGGGTTTGCACAGTGTGAACTATTCTAGCTCAGGTAATCAAGACTTGAGAATGAAGTAAAATGCCAGTTCCAGAGTGTCACAAGATAAACCATGTTACGATTCATACCAGTGGCATATTATTCCTTATATATATATATTTAAAATATCCAGAATATTATAATTTAACCATGGTATTTTTCGCATGTTCGTTTGCAATAGTTCTACATTTGTAAAACAAAAATTGTGAGGAACTAATACAGACTTCCCAGGTACTCCACCCCACTTTTTGATTATGAACATCTCACATTATCATATTCCTCATAACTGATGAGCACCATGCTCCTCTGCCTTTCACTCAGAACCATTTAATCCCAATCATTTCCCCCAGCTCCCTGCAGTCAACATTGTGCATTTAGACGGAGGTGTTTTTGTTGTTATTCATTTGTCTGTTTTAACTTCATTTACACACAAGAAAAAGGACATGAGGCATTGGCCTTCTGTGTCTGGCTTGCTTCACTCACAATAATATTCTCTTTTTCCAAGCATTTCACAACATGCTTTATGGTTAGAAAAACATATGTGTAATGAGATTTATACTGGAGGATCTTGGTTTTAACAAAAATTGTGAATGAACTATTAGACATACACGTTCATGTCACAACCTGTTGTTATTTTGTCAAATTCTTATTCAAATGCTATCAAATATGTACACAAATATTGTGTTACTGAGTCTTGTGCTTTAAAGTACAGAAACTGGATTATTTGATACTTTTGCCAATTCCCATTATTTCAGAAATTATTATTATTATTGTTGTTGTTATTATTATTTCTTAAATGATATTCCTGTTAAATGTTCTTGATGTTTTTGTTTATTGATAAAGTATCGGTTAATTTTAATTTCATCTTAACATTGACATTCTGCATTGTGCAATTGATAGTTAACTATATATGCATATAAACAGAGGCATATGTTCACACACACACACATATGCATTTATCAAGTTTTTATTTTTCTCTCTATACTGAATTAGTTCATTAAAAGTCTGGCAAATGCAGGCTAACAGCTCTGGCTAGCTTGTAGAGTTGGCATTCTTGGGCCAGAAAGGTCAACCTTACTGAGAGTGCAGGCAATTTGTAGTAAATTCTGCTTCATAAAGGAACACAAACAATGCATGTGGCATTCTTTCAGTGACTTGTGAAAGCAAGCCAGCTGTACGAAAGAATCCTGTGTTATTAACATATCACACGTGCCTTGGGGTTGTGTTGCTTAATGCTGCACTAAAGTATTGAGATTTCCACAGTTAAATGAACATGCTTCTCCAAGCAACTGAAGGCCAGGGGCTAGAAGATTCTAACAGGATAACTTCCAGGATCAAAAGAATGTTTCATGTAGGAAACTGGGAACAATATATTATCCTAAAGCCAGCTATAAACAAAACACTATTAATGCATGGTTTTAATCAAATACTAATGATGGTTGTATTATTATTTCTATTAATAGATTGGAGATTTAATTGTTTTAACAATACACTTAATACAAGTAGTAACCACATAGACCTAATAATCTTTCCAAATACTAATAATATAACAAAAATGACACTTTTTTTGTAATACAAAATACTGCATTTCTTTTTTGTGCATAATTTCTAAGTAATTTCCATACCATCTAAGTTGCCACTAAACAAAGCAACCAACAAAAACTGAAAAAAAATCAAATAAAAAGAAATAAATATTGTGATTCCCATGAAATGACACCCAATTTATTAAACACAAATATCTAAGGAAGTTTTATGGCCAAGAAATTCAAAGTGATTGTTTCAGTGCGATATGTTGAACATGTTTAAAGAGGATTAAACAAGAGAAATCTAAAATATAGAATCAAAGCTTGGAAATGGAGAATAACTGATTCCATCGAGTAAATTCTACTTATAATTGTAATGTGGTGTTGATTGCACCGCTAAAGTATACATACATAGAAATACTACCATCTAGACAACTGAAACTATAAAACAGGACTAGATAATGCTGCCTAGACTCTGACAGCTCAGGTAACATTAAAAAATTGCTATTGTGTGACTACAGTGAACTGCTGAAAGCTATATTTATAGTCTACATATTTTAAAGGTTTATTGATTTTTATTTCAAAGGTAGATTTACAGAGAGACAGAGAGAAATCTTCCATCCGTTGCTTCACTCCCCTAATGGACACAACAGCAGAAGCTGAGTTGAAGCCAGTGGTCGGTTTGCCATACCAGTGCAGGGTGCCAAGGCTTTAGTCCATCCTCTGCACTACCAGTTGCATTAGCAATGACCTGGATGGGAAGTAGAGTAACTGGGACACAAACTGATTTCCTTAAGGGAACCTGATGGTTGCAAGGAGAGAATTAGCCAATTGAGCCATTATTGTCTCCATTATTTTATTTGTAACATCTTGAATTAGCAAAACTGGAACAGCGATACAGATCTAATTTCTATATGAGTCTCCATCTGAGGAAGCTGGTAAGAAGTTGGTTTTACAGTTTTTTAAAATGTATTAACTTTGTATTGGATTGTCAGATATTCAGAGAGGAAGAGACAAAGAGGAAGATTTTCCCTCTGATGATTCACTCCACAATGGTCAGAGCTGAGCCCATCCAAAGTCAGGAGCCAGGAGCTTCTTCCGCATCTCCCACATGGGTGTAGGATGTGAAAGCCTTGGGTCCTCAATTACTTTCCCAGGCCACAAGCAGGGAGATGGACGGGATGAGGGGCCATCAGGACTAGAAACCGCACCTACGTGGGATCCTGAAGTGTGCAAGGCGAGGACATTAGCGTGCCGTGTTTTACTAGCATTTTCATAGTTAATCTTCCCATATATCTGGCTTAATGCTGAGGGGCTACTCAGAAAGCCACGTGAAATTTCTTCCAATTTCCTTACTTTTAAAGGGCATTTATTTTTTTATTTGAAAGTGTTTTATTTCAGTCTATGGCCATACCACCCTGAACGCGCTAGATCTCCTTTGAAAGTGTTTTATTTTAAAGGAACCAGGAGTTTCTTAAGGGTCTCCCACGTTGCTGAAGGGCCCAGGAGCTCGACCTTTCTCTGCTGCTTTTCCTAGGTACTAGCAGAAAGCTAGGTTGGAACTGGAGCTGTTAGGACTCACATTGAAGGTGGGCTTAGTTATAGAGCAAA